TTTTGATTAACTTTAAATAAAAAAAACAATTACAAAAGCTAACATTTTTTTAATTTCACTAATAATTAACAATTATATAAGAATGACAACAAGGTGGGTTCAAGGCGAGGCACCCCATCCCTATCCCTGCCCCGTCCCTACTGTCATGCGGGTTTAGGGCAAGGCAACCACTCCTCAATGTCAAGCTTTCTCAAATAAGCCCAGCCTGAGCCCGAGCCCGGCTAGATACTATTATATATAATAAATATAATATATATGCTTCTTAAATTATTAATAAATATCAATTTACTATTAGGAAATATAAATTAGTTTATTAATTTATTAAATTATTACTAAATTAATATAATATTAGTTTATAAAAGTATACTGAAAATAAGACATTTTGTGTAGAGATTGGCATTCGAGCTCGAGCTCCAACTTCAGGCTTTATATAAAGGCTAGGCTGAGCTCAAGATCTAGGCCTGATGGTCGGGGTGGGCTCGGGCTTGCACATTTTCTATTGATAAAGATGCCCGTGTTAATTATAAAACAATGATTTTTAACAAATTAAAAATTTTACTTAATTCTAGTCTAGTATAAATGGATATATAACATTTCTATAGATACTAATATAAAATTTGTTATTTAAATATTATATAATAATATTTACCATATATGCATGTAACTTCCAAGTTGAGCTTATTAGGGGTTGTTTAGCTTGGGCCCTATCCACTAAAACCATCATTGGACCCCAAAAGTTTGATACCTAATTAGACTTTGAATTTAATTATCCCTGATATGTGTGGGCATGGTGCATATCCCTGATAACAATTTGTTACCTTTTATTAATTATTAAATTATTGTAATTATTTAAAATATAATAATTTATGGAAATTCTCATATTTTTATAAATATTGCTAATTTCTTGGATAAAACTAATTAAATGTAATTTTCAACTATTTAAAAATAATTATTGTTAATTATATTACTATTAATAATTAAAATACATTATTTTTTGTCATAAAATACAATTAACTTAATTTTTTTAATATTTTTAGTATTTTAATTAAACTTTAGGTTTTTCAGAATTTTTGAATTTTTAATTAATTTTTGGTGTTTTTTCATTATTATTCAATAATTTTTGCATATGAGTATTTTTCAAAAGTTTTCAGTATTTTCATCATTTGTTTTTTGCGTATTAGTCACTACAAAAATAATTTGCATTTGCTTTCAGTAAAAATAAATTAAATAACTAAATAAATACCATAATTAATACAAAATACAACTAATTATCAATATTTTTCAATAATTTCGGATTTTCAGTAAATACCCTTATTAATATAAAATATTATTAAATTTCAATATTTTTTAATTATTTTAGTATTTTAATCATGTTTAGATTTTTCAAAATTTTTTGGATTTTTAATTAATATTTTTTATTAGCGTTTATTGAGGTCTCAACTCATAAGTTATCTAATATTATTATTGAAGCTATTAATTAATATTTTTATAGTTAAATTTCTTATTTTTATTAGTGTTTTTTAAGTGGAATTGAAACACATTCTTAATATTTATTAAGTTTTGTTAATATTTATTTTAATGAAAGCTTAGTGGATTTTTAAATTAATAATTTTTTGATTGCTTAACCTTAAGCTATTTATATTATTTGATTTATATCCTGGTTTTCAAAACCGGACCGGATTGGAAAAACTGGACTTCAACATAATTTCATTATTAATTTTGTGAAAATATTAAGTTATTATTAATTTGAATATTATGTTTTATTTTATTGCATAATTTCTTTATTTTAACTATTTAAAAAATAGTTATGTTAAATATTTCGTTATTTAAAACACTTAGTTATTTAAATATTTAAAAATGCACATTATTTGAATTTATGATATTTAGTTATTTTAATATCAAAATATTATTTTATTTTTTTTAATGTTAAATTCTATTATTTGAATAATCTAGAAATTCATAATTTATATTGTTAGTACATAATTTCGTGATGACTTTTGTAAAAATATAAAATTATTAATGATATGAATATTATTAAATCTATTAGAATTGTTTTTTTTGTGTTTTTAATAATTATTTTAAAGTTTATACTATTATTACATAATTTCATTATTAATTTTGTAAAAGTATTAAATTATTATTAATTTGAATATTATGTTATGATTTTTTATTTTATTTCTTAATTTTGTTAGTTTAACTATTTAAAATATAATTTTGTTAAATATTTAGTTATTTAAATATTTAAATAATATYTAAAATATTTAAAAAATACTCATTTTTTGAATTTAAGATTTTTAGTTATTAAAATATTAAAATAATTAAATATTTTCTATATAATTATTTATCTATTTTTATTATTTTATTATTTAAGATATTTAGTTATTGATATATTGAAATAATTATTTTAAAGTTATTTGAATAATCTAGAAAGTCATAATTTATATTGTTAGTACATAATATCATGATGAATTTTGTGAAAATAAAAAACTATTAATAATATGAATATTATTAAATCTATTATAATTATTTTTGTGTTTTTAATAATTATTTTAAAATTATTATATAATTTGTTTAAATATTTAAATAATTTTTAAAATTTTAATTTATACAATCTTTAGATAGATATAGATAAAAAGTGTTAAAGAGGATAAGTAGAAATTACAAATAATTTGGAGAGAAAATCTCTAGTAAATTAGAGATAAGTTAGAAGATAAATAAGAATTGGAGATGATTTAGGATAAAGTGGGGGAGGTAGTTTAGGATAAATTCTAGGAGAAGAGATTGTTGGGGAATGGGAGAATCTCATTGGTTCAATGATTACTATTTTATATTTTTAAAACTAAAAAAATGAAAAAATGAAAAAATTGGATAAAATAGAGAAATAGTTTCTCTTCAAAAGAGAGCTATGCTGACATGGCAGGACCAGTTTTAATAAAGGCTATGTTTGCTTTGAAGGAAAATGCAGGGAAAGGAAGGGAAACCTTTACAATTCCTTTCCCTGCCTTTTCCTTCAAACCAAACATAGCCAAAAGGAATTTTCTTAAGATAGAAAAGAAAAAAAGTTTGTGGGGAGGGGGAGAAAGGAGAATGGAGGGAAGAAGATTTGGTGGGAGAAGAGTGGAAGATCTTATTGTAAAAAAGAGAGGACGGCGGAGGGTGAAATTGGATATCAAGGAATGTTAGGGTTTAGGTAAGGAGTGCCGTAAGAATTTTCAATGTGGAAGAAGATATAGTAGACAAGCTGAAGTCAAGGTTTGGAGGTTGAATAGGTTAGTAGCAGCTGCTGGTTATTCTATTGCAGGTTGTGTCTTGGTGATGTCTGAAATCTGAATTGATAAAAGATATCCTTGGGGGTAGTGTTTGGGAGGCGTTGGAATCTCAAATTTGTATTTTGGTTATTTGGAGAAGTTTAGTTTGATTTTGTTTTGTTGTTATTTTAGGTGTTGCCTTAACACCTCTTCATTGTAATTTTACTTTTTCCTCTGAAAATTTCCTTTTACTTATACAGAAAAAAAGAAAGGACTGAGGATGAAAATAATAATCAAAATTTTTGACCTAAAAAAGAAGAAAATAATAATCAATATGTATATATTGGACAAAGTTTTAAGTCATTCCCTGTTTATCTATTCAGGTTTTTAGGTCTTGGAGGGTTCAAATGGCATGCATGATTGAATATTTGAACCCTAACAAATAAGAAAACATTAAAAGGAAATTAATATTTTAAACCCTAAACTAAATAATTTAGTTTAATAATGTCTGTTTTATTATTAAACTAATATTTTAAACCTTATTATAAGGTTTTGCAACCTACATATTTATATTTGTACTCATTCCAAACTGAGCCTAATCTAATGAACTTCCATATTTTAGCTAAATATTGCTCTTTAACGTGGAAAACACAAGGATGTATTTTACTCCACTCCCATTAAGAGATAATAAGGTCTATAGACAGCAAACAAGTAGGAAAAAAAACTTGTGAATAAATTAAAACAATCACCAAACTATGGGAGGCATTATATATTGGCTATTACAAAAATTCCTTCATAAAATGTTATAGTCCTGTGGAGCATTCCAGGATCTAGAAAGAGGAGTTGATTGATAAAAGAAAATCTGAAGAGGGTTTTATAACAGCACGGTGCCGCCAGTATACAATCCTCTATCCTTACCCCCAAATATGACCAAAGAATCAGAGATAGCATCATGTTGCTTTGGAGTTTGACTCCCATCTAAGAAAAAGGGACTACTTACCTAACCAGAAATTCTTATTTCTTTAATTTGGGAAGATCTCCAAAGACCCAATACCCATAAAAGAAAATCAGTATAGATGTAAAGTTTTAAACATGTACACTCATTAGACCCATGACATAAATCCATACAGATAAAAATTCCACTCTTATTCATATAAGAAAAGAATAACTAAATGCCATATTTAAGATTATTCTTTAATGTACAAACAAAACCCACTAACAATCATTTAATACGCTGTTCATCTATAAGGTATAAAAGAAGTTTGCTCCCTTAAAGCTTGCCTAGTTGCAGGTTTTCCGATACTTCAGACTTAACATGAACATCAAAAGTAAATAACCCTAATAAAAATCTTTCATTTGGCTCCGGTTTTAAAAACAAGCACCCAAAACACTAGTTGATCTCTAAACCCAGCACATAGCAACTGCAACAGTCAAATCCATTGACAATTAGTGATTGTTGTTTCTCATTCTGATGTAGGACAGTCTTAGGGATGCTTAAACCTTAGGAAAACAAATGAAAACGATCACACCTCCCTTCCCAAATCAAGTGTGGAATCACACTTAACACAAAGGTCTTCAACGGAGTCATAGCAAAGAAGAAATTTTCTTCAGCATCACACCCCATTGACAATTAGTCCTATGAGATAATTCGTGCATCCTATTTAGAAAATTCCTTAAATGAGTAACCCTATTGGAGATTTTATTGAGGTTCTCTATGACACACCATCAAGTCAATGAAAACTTCTTTTTTTATCAGTAGAAAGTTATCGAGTCTCCCTGCCACAAACCTCTGGATGCTTGGAAGAACTCCAAAGAGACTCCATTGAGAAGTAGAGAAAAGGCAACTGAAGAGACACAGGCATACATCCAGCCTCTCCATTTTTCTCCAAAGCCCGTCAACCTCTGCATCTCCTCAAGGAAACCCCATTCCACATGATTGTATGCCTTCTCAATGTCAATCTTGCAAACCAGACCCAATCTCCCACTCCTCAATCTCGAACCTATACATTCATTGGCCACTAACACCTTGTCCAAAATTTGCCTACCTTCCACAAAAGCCACCTGGGTATCTCCTACCACTTCGTGCCAAACTGCTTTCAGCCTCCACGATAAAATCTTGGCCAGAAATTTATATGGATTACTAATTAAACTAATCAGTCTGAAGTCTTTAATATTCACTGCTCCATCCTTCTTTTGAATCAGAGCGACAAAAGTAGCATTCAGCCTCTTCAATAACTCTCTTGAGTCAGAGAACTCCTTGATCATTTGAACAAAATCTTCCTCCATAAAACCCCAACAAGCCTTAATGAAGCTAAAATTAAAACCATCAAGCCTTGGGGTTTTGTCCCCTTCAATTTTCAGAGCATCTCTGATCTCCTCCACTTCAACCTCCCTTTCCAGCCATCTTGCTGAATTATCACTTAACTTCCTTGGCTCCAAACCCCCTAAAGCCACCCACCTCCAACCCCTTTCTGTAAATAGGCTCTTGTAGAAATCCACCACCATTTTATTTTTCTGTATCTCTTCCCAAAATCCACCAATTCCTCTCCCATCTGAATTCTTGATATAAAATTTCTCCTTTCCCTTGTGCTTGCAAAATCCTGAAAATATGTTGTGTTCCTATCTCCTTCCCTCAACCAGATTTCCCTTGATTTCTGTCTCCAACTCACTTTTTCCCTTAAGATTAATCTTTCCAAATCCCTTTCCAGGGATTCCTTCTCTATGAGAGCCTCTCTCAAGAACTGCCCATCTTCTACCAACCTGTCCAGCACTGTTAGTTTCTCCAGCAACTCTTTTTTCTTACTTCTATTTCCCCAAACACCTCCAATCTTCTACCCCTTGGGGCCTCAGTTCTTTCAGGAACTGAAACTTTCTTAGCAGTCTGAGGGCTGCTGAACCTTCCACCTGTAGGCTCCTCCACCTCTCTTCAGCCCACTCCACGAAACTTGATTTTTGTAGCCAGACATTTTCAAACCTGAAAGGTCTTACTCAATTCACATCAAAAAAATTCTTAAAAATATAGGTATATGGTCTGACATCTTTAGTGTCGAGGCTTCTTGAACCACCACCTCCACCACATACTCCACCCAATCACCAAAAAATAAGAACCTGTCCAAACTTCTGAGGATCGCTGGAAACTGACCATTCGACCAGGTAAATCTCTCACCATCAAAGGTGGATCAATAAGTCCACTTCCCTCAATAAAATCCCCAAATCTCCTCATCCCCACAGTAACCCTCTTATCCCTACCCTCCTTTCATCATCTCACTCCTAACTACATTAAAATCCCCTCCTAAACACCAAGGATCACCCCACAACCTTCTCAGATCCTCCAACTCTTCACAAAGTTCAGCCCTCTTTCCCTTTGAATTTGGCCCATAGGCATTTGTTAGAACCCAACACTAATCTCCATGCACTTCTTTCAAGCAAACAGATACTGAAAACTTGCCCACCTTCTCCCCTACATTTTTAAACACCCCAGCATCGCGTAGAGTGAGTAAACCCCCTGACAGACCCACCACATTCAACTTCATCCACTCCAGACTACTTCTTCCCCATATCTCCTCCTTCAAACGCAAAGTAAAATATTCCAGTTCTGTCTCCTGTAACAATACAACTTCAGGAGAATGACTTCTGGTTAAATTTCTCACCACCACCCACCTCACCTTCTCTCTCAAACCTCTTACATTCTAACAAATCACCCTCATCCTTTCTTCGCTACTTTTTACAGCAAAGTTGGTAGTTCTCCCCTCAATCCTCACCTACTTCCTCCTCTCCCCCTTCTTCATCCCACTCCATTTCCTTCCCAATTTTTTCTTTTTTTTTGATTTTTCTCCTCTCCTGAATTTCTCAAAATGGTCAAAGGCCTTCCTTACAAATTCTTCCCCTCCCTAGAAAACGAACCCAAAGATTTGCCTACTGATACCTCCCTGCTCACTTGACACACCACCAAGTAAATGAAAATTTCTCATTCATGAAGTAGCAATATCACCATGACCTTGGTTACCCTCATCATCAATCCAGATTCAACATCTATACCATTGGAAGAATTTAAGGGAATTCAATATCTTTTCTAGCAAAGAGAGACATATTATGTGAAGGGCACAATATCTTTCCCCAATTTCCATTGTTTATGGTTCCATGAGAACACAAATGAAGAATGGAGAGGACATTAAAAAATTGAGGTTCTTTTCTCCCTTTTCTATTTTGCATATGTAACTACAACTATATAAGTTAAAGGAATGAAGCTCCTCAGTTAGCGATAGATTAAAGGGATGGGAACCAGATGGGATGGAGACAAAAACATGCAAAACAGGCTGGCAATCTATCACGATTGAACACACCAGGTTCTGTATGCATAAGGTGTGGGCCCCACGTGGGCACCATGTGATAGGTTGAGCAGCGCACTGTTTACGATTTTGCCTCAAGCCAATCGGGACTCAAATGGATGACAGCGCACTGTTCAAAGACCAATCTGGATTTTGAAATATTGTTGGTTCTTTTAGGAAAAAGAAGCAACTCTTTAGCAGTAAAACCTCAGCCATTGCAATCTATAAAAGAAAATGCAAACTAAACTCAGGAATGAACATAACTTTTAAAAGGACTTTCTTATCTCATGAGAAAAACAAAGCAGCTCTTAAAATCAACATTTCAATGTGTAAGCATAAATAATAGTCAGAAATTTAATACTTACTCCTGCTCCATCATGAGAAGCAATTACTCTATTGGAAAATGTTACATCATATTTAACAGGAAATAGGCAGAGAAGATTTGCAAGGAAATTAAATTGGATACCAAAATCACATATGACAAACAAAGAGACTTGTATATTGTATCTAGAAAGAAGACTAAATTCCAAATCCTACATTTTAGCTGGTAAGTGGAAAAACAAAAAGTAATCGATTGCTTTTATTAGTGTAAGCATTGCAGCTATCAACTAGTTATAGCACAACCCATTCACAAGGAATGTGAAGATGAAAATCCGTAATCATGTATCAAGAAGACAATACAGAGAAGATCCATGCAGGTTTGAAGATTCACACACACAAATTAACTTATAAATTAAGCCAAGTGTAAAACATGCTGTGTATTCAAGCACACAAGTATCTCACAGAAAGTTAGACATTTCTCGTATCAAACCAAATATCACGTCTACTGGTAAAGTGGTAATAGAAGAGATAAAGTATTTACACCCTTTAGTTCATGGAGAGAGAGGGAGTTTGGAATATGGAGATCAGCCAAACCTACTAATCAAAGAATACCAATTGCAGTGTTGCAAAGAAAGTGAGTTGCACCATGTAGTAATTTAGCTAATTAAAGCAACTAACTCAATTTCACAAGTTTCAACCTCCAGCAATTGTGCTGTTGAAAATTGCCACGAATTAGAATCAAAGAGCATGTTGTAACAAGTATCAATGTATCTGGAAAGAGAATGGAGTAACACCATCACCCAGTCACCTCATACAATTTAGCATTGAGACCCATCAGAATATGGGCTAGAATGGACGGGAGGAAACAAAAGTGAATGCTAAGCACATACTGCACTGCACATGTATAAAACCATCCATTTACCACACGGGAAATAGAGAACCACAGAAAACGGACGTATAAAAGCACTCCTGAAAACATCGGAAAACATAAACGCCAAATCACAAACTGTCCGTGCTTCCGTGCCTCGTCTAAGCAGCAGAGATCCCAGGCTTCTCCCGTAAATCTTTGGTAAGAGGCAGAGCTGCCCTGTCGCTCCCTGTAAACAGTTCCTTAGCTAAATTTTACAACGCTTGAATTGGTGAAAGCGAAACACCAGGTAACATGTGACATACAGCTCTAGTCATCCGATTCCCCAACTGTGGGGAAAGAAAACGACCATGATACACCATTTTCTATTGGTAAGTACCACCATAATGCGCCATAGTTCAAACACTAGAATTCTAAAGTCTAAACTTTAATAGATATCACCTATTTGTGACTTTTCTGTCTTTGACAATGAACCATTAATTAGTAAACGAATCGCATGGGAAAACCAAAAACATGCCTCTGTTCATGAATTGAAAATCAACCAGGGTAGAAAATAGATCCAGAGGATTAACAAAGGCAACGACTGTTTATTTCAAAGGCTGTAAAGATGGCAGAAAATCAAGTTTTGGCAATGCTGTTAGAGAGATAAGTAAAGTTCCAGCAAATTCCCATTGATGATGAAATGTTTCTAAAAGCAAAACCATCGTTCACGCTATCATAAAATTATTTCTTTTTGTATTTCCATAAAAGATAAGGGAAAAAATAAGGTTTCGTTGATTACAAGAGAAATCCCATTATCGATACTATCAAACAAGATCTTTCCTATAACAAAAAAGAGGGGTGAAAACCCTAGAACTCCTGTGATGCAGAACCAAGCTCGCCTTTTCCTTTCCCGATCTTCTTGGGCAAGAGAGTCTGATGAATGTTGGGCAAAACCCCTCCGTTAGCGATAGTAACAGTACCCAAAAGTTTGCTCAACTCTTCATCGTTCCTCACCGCAAGTTGTATGTGCCTAGGGACAATACGATTCTTCTTGTTATCTCTTGCTGCATTTCCTGCCAATTCAAGAACCTGTAAAAAAACCAAAAACATATCAGAACCCATATCAGATCGCTTCGCAGGCACATAATATGACACACGTCGATGAAACAAAAGAATGCATCACAAACCTCGGCTGCAAGGTACTCCAGCACAGCAGATAGATAGACGGGAGCACCGGCACCAACACGTTCGGCATACTTTCCTGCCTTGAGGAACCTGGCGATTCTTCCGACGGGGAATTGCAAGCCGGCCTTCTGAGATCTGGAGATGGATTTCGAGGATTTGGGTTTTCCTCTCCCACCCTTAGTCGAACCAGAAGAACTCATCTTCTCTCTCGCTTCTATATCTTCGCTTTTCGCCTCTTCGGCTCCTTCCTTCGAGTTTGATCTTTCTTGGCCATTTGCAATTGGAAATTGATTCGTATATATAGACGCGCGAAAGCGAGGGTTGTGCGAGTATTCGCTCTTTCGCTGATCGGAGAACACACGGATTGCCAACGTGGAAACTTGTAGAAAAAAAAAAGAAAGGTAAATTACAAAGATCCCCTTATACTATGGGGTCTGTGATAAACACCCCTGTATTTTGTTTTGCGGCAAAAACCCCTTGTAATATGACCGTGAGACAAAGACCCCCTTCCATTAGACTTTCATTAAAATCCGCCATTATAATATATTTTAATCTCCATACTATCCTTATAATAATTATTGGAGAAAAACACTCATCTTTCCCGACCTCACGATACACAAACAGCAACCGCAGCGGACTTTCAAAATCCTCCCTCTTTCTCCCCGATCTCTCTTCTTCCCCTTCCCCTGTTTTTCGTTCCTTGCAGGTGAATAATGATCTGAACCAGATGAGTGGTGGTGATGGTGCAGACTTCAAAAGTCCTCCCTCTCTCTCAAGTTGAAATCTGTGTCCCACTAGGGGGCGTCTCACAGTACATCCCAGCCTTGTATTGGAAACATCTCCCGATAATAATACCAGACCCAATGATATCATCAACGGGAGATGTTCCCAACACAAGGCGGGGATATACTGTAGGACCTTGTGGGGCACAGATGTGAACTCCTCTCTCTCCCTCTGTTTTCTGTTTACCGTGCCCTCCCCCAATGCTCCAGTTACTCCCACTCTATTGGTACTCCGCCCCTCATATTGTCCTCTGTTAGGAAACTGGGAAAAACTAGATTCGAATCAGAAACAGTATTTTGGGGATTGTCCCTGCGTTCCTGTACTAAAGTATCAGAATGTGTATGGGGCAATGCTTTTTGACACATATAACAACCCTCAGATCTCAAAGCTTTGTCAGGAAAATTCCCCTGTTGATGAGGTACCCAACCCTCCGAGGAAACTACCTGCTCTGCTCTGTAGGTGGCACCTGATTCAAATCATAAACTCCTGCAGATTTGAATGAATGCGCAGATCAATAGGCTACGTCCGATACAATTTTCTTCTGGTACAACCACCAAACAACATCCCACCTTGCGCGGCCATTCTCCTTATTATATACCCAGCTGTGCTGCCAGTTGGGGTTTGTTGAAATGCTTACATTAACAATTACAACTACAAACAGAGTTAAGACTTAAGAGGGAGGGAGGAGATATCTACAACTGCCCCTGCCCGAACAATCTTGAGCTTGATATATCCTTCGGGGTTCGGGGTGACTTTTTCTTTTCTTTTAAACTGGCGGCCTTTTTGATTTCCTTTATTTGTTTATTTCTTCGGCCGGGCGGGGGGCGGGCAGCAAACATATCTCCGTCAAACCTCGCTTCTTCCTTCCTCCCATGCCCATGCAGAGACCTCTCCACGACGCTCTGCACCGCCGATGTCTGTGGCTCTGTCCTCCTTCCTCTTTAATTAATTTTCTCTCTTCGACACTCAACTGAAAAAGGAAGAGGAGGACGAGGAAGGATGATTTTTTTTTTTTAATTAAACTATCATTTTCATTCATTCCAAAGTTTCCAGTTAGAGCATGATCGACGATAGACGAATTAATAAATGGATAAAGACCCCTCGTTTCTTGAAAAACTACGCATTGCAGAGAGAGAGAGAGAGAGCAACTAGCAAGCACGTTTGGTGGACTGAAAAGAAAGCGATCAGCTTCTCAGGGAGAAGATGCAGCTCTTCGCCGTTAAATATGATTCCTTTGAACACTGTTATACAACAGTTTCTTGTTTACAATAACAATTTTAAAAAGCTCAGTCACGGCATCCTTCCTGAAAGTTCCCATCGATGGGATTGAAGACAAAACATAAGACAGAAATCGACGCCGGCTATTTTGTTTCCTCGGTACTCCGATATGACCATGATCCCTTCTCAAAACCTTTTTAATCATCAACACTACGACGGTTATGGTGGTGGGGCGGTTACAGAGAAAGTTGTTATACGGGGAGTTGCGTTGGTCTTATGAGCCGAATATCAGGGTATGGCCCTTGTAACCAAGTGTGCTTAGGATCCGAATCCGATCTGGTGGTCGGTCATATGGCCAAGATGACCCCAGAACCAGTAGCCTCAACGAAGCCGACTCCAGCTCCACGGATTTCCAACAAGATGAGAAAGACGAAGGCTGGCTTGAGGGGAATTTTCCTGACAAAGCTTTGAGATCTGAGGATTGTTATGTGTGTCAAAAAGCATTGCCCCATACACATTCTGATACTTTAGTACAGGAACGCAGGGACAATCCGCAAAATACTGTTTCTGATTCGAATCTAGTTTTTCACTGTTCCCCAACAGAGGACAATATGAGGGGCTGGACTACGAACAGAGTGAGTAACTGGAGCATTGGGGGAGGGCAAGGAAAACAGAAAACAGAGGGAGGACTTCGGAAGTCTGCACCATCACCACCACAAATCTGGTTCAGATCATTCACCTGCGAGGAATGAAAAACAGAGGAAATCGGGAAGAAGAAAGGGGAAGGGGAAGAAGAGAGAGAGAGGACTTTGAAAATCCGTCGCCGTTGCAACACTTACCACCGCTGCTGTTCGTGTATCATGAGGTTGGGATGAACAATGTTTTTCTAACAGTTATTATAAGGGTAGTATGGGGATTAAAAAATATTATAATGGCGGATTTGTCGCAAAACAAAGTATAGGGAGGTCTTTGTAATTTATCCTAAAAAATTGAGTCCGTGTTGTGCACCGATTGGTGCCTTGGACAACGACACCCTAAAATGAGAGGGGAAAAACTTTAGCTGTTGGGGGCTAGAGGTGTAAAGTGGGTTATGCCGGGCCACGCAAAGTGCGGGCCGTGCTGCCCTCTTTGGTGAAACTTTTGGGGGTCAGCCTGGCATGGCCCAGGCCCGTGTGGTTCCGTGCCGCGGTCCGAGCTGGCTTGTGGGCCTAGTCGAGCCGTGCATCGGGCCAAAGCTATTTATTTAAAAAAAATTGACAAAAACTTAAAATTTTAATTTTATATGAATTTTGCGTATACAATTGCTTATATATACAATAATTAAATATATTAGTATGATAAAATTAAAAAATATTTATTTTATTAATATATTATATACTATATATTATTATATAAATATATATATATATATAATATAAGTATATATAAAATATATATATATGGGTCCTGCCGTGTCATGTTGTGCTAACCCGTGGACCTAAAACCCCAGGCCTAGCACGGCCCACATGATCGTGTCGGGCTTGGCATGGCCCGCAAACTGTTGTGTTGGGCCGGTCCAAGTTCGTGCCAAGCTTACACCTCTATTGGGGGCCAATAGCCTATGTTGTTAAGAGAATTTCTAGCACGTTACCATGAGAATGGATAAATTATTTTGACTAAAAACCAAAGCATGGGCGTGAATAGGTAAACTGCCCAAAACGTGGCCAACCCATAAACTATCTCAACAGCCTACGTTGTTAGACCCCAACAGCCAAGGTTAACCCAATGAGAGGCGAACATGTCATCTCATTCGTCTTAACGGCGTATTAATAGAAGCTTTCTCTGGTGTGAGTCATTCGGCTGGTTGAACCGGTCATTTTGACTCTCTTTTCCATTTTTGACTTGACGATTCACTGCACACCGGCATTGTAAACGCATAAGCCACCAACACGAGAAAAAATCCACCGTCCCTCCCCTCCATTATCCCGTCCGATATGAGACGTTGCCCCAAAGATTCGGTCCCATTTCCTGCCCCAAAGATCCTTGTCTAGCAAATCATCAGCACCAAATCTCTGGGGTAGGAAATGGGACCGAATCTCTATGGCAATGTCTCCTATCGGACGGGATAATTGAGGAGAGGGAGTGTGGGGGGACGGTGGATTTTTTTCCAGTGGCTTATGTGTTCATGACGTGAGTCGCTAATAGTAAAAAATGGCCGGTTCAACCAACCGAACAACTAGTAATGGAGAGATGATGTGTTCGCCTCTCATTCGAGGGGTGCACAAAACGCGGTCTCAGAAAAATCGATTGTCTATCTATGCTTTCTTTCGAACTTGCTGCATCAAGAAATCAATACGTGACATGTGTCCACCACTAATACAAATTCAAGAATTCGCATTTTCCCGCCTGGGGTTTCTCTTAAATACTTAAACCTCCTTTCCTCTCTTTTCAAAATTTTTCAAATTAGCAATTTCCTTAAATTATCCCAACTGTTTGTAAAATTGACTAACTGTATTTTTACTGTTTATATATTGTCTTTAAGTACCCTTACTATTTCTAAAAATTGACATCACCGTGCTATGAAAAGAGACAAAATATCAAATTTACCCTCCATTATTCCTCAAATTTAAAAAACAAACCCAACTGATGAACAGTTCCAATGATGATTTTTCTCTTTCTCTCCATATCCATTATTTTTTTATTCATTTTCCCCATGGCAGACCCAAAAATGTCTCCCCTCTTTCTTTTTGCATCTTCACTATTGCCGCTGCAACTTCTAGCAACGGTGACTCCTTTGCATATCATGGAGTCTGCATTTCGCCATTCCGATTTTCCTGCATTAACTGGGGATCATTTTTTGTATGAAAGCTATGCTCTTGGAGGAGGATAGGGAGGACCTTGCTTTAAGATTTTGAGGGCAATTCCTTAAGCTAATTTGATTATGGTTTGTTCTTGAATTCTAGGGCCAGGGAATGTATTGCTAGCGTTGGAATAGGATTTTTATTTAGTTTTCCTCTTCCTTTTGGTGCTTTTGTTACTCTTTTGTACATGCTTTTTTCTGCATAAAAATTTGTATAAAAATGTCTACAGCCGGTGTCGCTCTTAGTCCGATTCGTAAAGAGTTTGTACTTTCCCTTGGGTATTTCGTGGTCAGCCGGGTCCTTGCTTCGATGAGTCGATACTGATTTACCCAACAGTTGTCGGTTTTGTGATTCCCATTTGTGTATTGGAGACTTGATTGCCTCAATGAAACTAAAAATACAGACCTCCAAACGTTTTGTTGTAAGTAGAAGCTAGTTTTG